GAAGAGCGTTCCCACCGGGGACAAGGTGCTTTTCCAGAGGAGGGGGTCGGTCGGAGACGTGCCTGAGGAAGCCTCTGCACATCTGGGCCCTAATCAGCGCAGCAGCCCCCAGGCGCTGCGGGCGCGGAGTACGGTTAGCCACCTTGTTACTGAAAGACGGAGTAAGCCCTTGACATCGCAGTGCCTTGGAAATGATTTCATTATTAGAAGGAATCACGGGCTGGAACGACATAAGTATGAAACACTGCTAGTACAGGTTTTTTGAATATTGTGATCTTGTATAACGCTTGCAAAGCGGTAAAACAGATTTTGTTGAATTCTGAATGGAATCAGATGTGACCCTGCAAATTTACCGTGATTCCTCTTTTGATGAACATGCATAAGGTAGAGGCTATTTGATGGTCAAGTACAAGAAGTCTTGAAGTATTGGAAAGCCTCTTTCGGGTGTTAGTATTTGTGTGGCGTGACAGGAGTAACCCGACAGTTCCCCTGCCCCCCAAATGAATAGCTTGTTCCAGCTGTTCCTTATATTTGCGACAGCAGGGTGGTTAGCGTATCCCATAAGACAAAATAATACAACGCGAGGGAATGTTGTGCTCAGCACAGAAGATCCAAAAATCTGCTGGTGCAGTCTGCTTTGCTGTCTGCTGCAAACTTAGTGGGTGTCTTTGGGACCTCCTCAAGGACAGTCTTCAAGAGGGGGGGGAAAAAAGGCATAGGCATGCTATGACCTCAACAGAATTTAGATGCTAGGCATTGTTTATGTATTTTACATAGCACAACCATCAGGTAAAATACACAAGTGGTCTTTGGAGCTGCGGTGGGAAGTCTGCTGTCCTTGCCTGTGTTTACCTTAGCAAATAACGCAGCAGGTGAGGAACAGTAGGTGAAACTTACAGAATGAAATGCACAGTGCTGGGGACCCAGTACGCACACAACACGTTTTAGGACTTTTCCTTTGAATTACTGCTCACCTCATACACAGCCTCCCGATACCTGAACTCTGTGCCACAGCATCAGCTGTTAAGTTGGAGAGTCACGCTTGCTCCTGCTGCTGCTCTGACCTAGTCAGTCTGGAGCATTTTGCTCCTGAGTAGAAAACTTCAAATGGAGAAAAACCCCTTGTGCAGAACTGCTCCCGGTTCGGGAGCTCGGACACTCTGTAGGGCAGCAGGGTCATACCTTCTGGGGCTGAGGAGGGAACCAAGCATAGACCTACTGCATCCCAGGCAATTTCTCTTACAACAGCATCACAGGTGAAAAGGAGGATGCTAGCATGCCTGTAAGTCTCTGCCTTCAGCAAAAAGACTGTTTAAGCAAAAGGTTCATACAATCTTTCCAGTAGATCTTAAGTGAGTAGCTCACTGCAGGCATTTCCTTGATGATTGGAACTGTTGTTTTAGGTCCCCCAGAGGCACTTTTCTCTCCCATGCACCCTGCGGGGAAGCTGGACTGCAGACAGATTCCACTGGGTCTTTTCTGTCTGAGCATTTGGTAACAGTGTTGTGGTGCCTAACTACATTTTTGGGTTATCCATCAGCCTGAGATTACAGAAGCGTTGCCAAAAGTGGTGGTAGAATATACTGCAGAGGCATTTAAAATACTGATTAGTGCTTTTAAAAGGTGCGATACCCTGATTTGAAAGGAATTGCAGGTAAACAAAGTTTTTACTATCATGATTTCTGGCATCATAACACTATTAAGCTCTAGTCAGAAAATTAAAAGATGGTAAATTCCCTGAAAATTTAGAACTCGGGGCAAAGACAACAAACATCTTAAGTGGAAGCTCAG